TCCACTCACCTCAGCCTCCCAAAGGCGCGGGGATTACAGGCTGAGCCACCGAGCCCGGCTATGCAGTTTTCTTACATGAACCATTACATTTCCCCCTTTTTCTGGATTAGTTGAATTTTCAGGTGGAATCCATAGTAAAGAGGGTCTAAAAAGAAAGGATTGGGCTTGATGTAGCCCAGTTAGAAATGAATGTTGATGGCCCACATATGATGTGAAGACTTGATAACCGAGACGTTGAAAATGTATGTGTCACACTGTCTGTGTCATTGAAGCCATTTGGCCAGACATGGGAAAACAGAAGTTTCTAAGGTCAGCTATTATGGGACGTGATTACCTCCCTCACCATATGTTGTTGTTGTTGTTTTAATAGATTCTGTCTTCATATTCTAGCAAATTTTGTTGTTACATGATTACACAAATGAGAAGTCAGAAAGACAGTCTTAAGATTTTTTTAAATAGTGTGACATATTTTAGAAATAATTTTGAAGTCATATTCACATTCCCCTGAACTCGTCCTTCCACGTTTATTTTCTGCATTTTCGCTTACGAGTCAATAGCAATGACCTGAACTTACAATGGTGTCCCTCTCCCTTCTTGCCCCTTTCATACCTCTCCAGCCTCATTATTCTCTCCCCCTTGCTCATACTCTTGCAACATAACTGTAATGCTTTAGTTGAATGAAAACCTAATTATTTGGAATCTTGGAACTTTTATTTTTATTCGCTCTTTAACGCTATTTAAAATTATCTGGTTTATTTGTTTACTTATATATTGTTTGACTGCCCCCACTTGAATTTACGTTCTATCAGAACAGAGACTTTTGTCTATCTTATTTATTTATCTTATTATCTAAAACAATGTTAGGCATACATTGGCATTCAATATTTGTTGAATAAACTAGTCCTACAGTAAAGAGCCTTAGTGTAAACATATTTAGTCTTCTAGTTTAGCTTAATTTACAATGAGTGCTAAATTTACTCAGACTTTAGTGTTAAAATGTAACAATTTGCATCACATGAGTGTGATGTTTGTACATATATCAGAATCAGCTAAACAGTGAAACAAGTTTAATTTTTAATTTATTAGAACCCAGTAAGTGATGACTTTAAAAGCAGAGTTTCCATCAAATTAACACTTAATTCAGGGCAAAAATACATTTAAAAAACCTAAATCTTAAGGCAGAAGTAAAACATTATAAAAACAGCATGTCTAATACAGACTGCAGAATGTCAGAATTTTAAGAGATTGACATAGTATTTTATAGCACTAAAATATTAATACAGTCAGAAATATTATCAATTGGTCCAAGATTTCTGTTTATAAAATATACAGGCTGCTAATTAAAGAAGTTTTGCTGTGTAAGTAATAGCTACAATGTAACCAAGTGATTGCTTTTATGACAAAGGAACCAAGGCAGGTAATTGCATTGCTTTCATTTGTGAAGATTTTACAGTATTAAATATAAAGTATTACTGGGAATATTTTCAGATTCATCTCCCTACCCTAATGCCCAAAAGATGTACATCACTTTCCTTTAACTCCATTTTAAAAAGTCTGTGACCTACCATACCTATTCATTGTAGGTCTGACTCTACTAGTAACAAACGCATAGATTGTTTACTTTGATATGGCAGAAAAACAATTTTAGTAAATTACTGCATTTTTCCTAGTCACTGAATAATTTCAAACTGAAGTCTTAAAAATTTTTGCACCTCAACAAGTGAACAACATATTTCTTTACCTCTATAAAGTTTGAATTTTGACTACAACTGTTAGTACGGGGGTGAAAAGGGAAGTAGTTCATGTTTATGTGCAATTAACAGTAGCTCTTCTGAAAAACAGAGTTAAGAACCTTAAATTTTCCCTTATGATCAAAACCTTTTGTTTTTGGGGAACAGGATAAAATTTTAAAGTGCTTTAAATCAGGAAACAAAGATTAGCTAGCTTATACATTCTACTGAATTGTGTAAAAAAAATTGCTTTTAAAATAATTTTGTAACTCCAGCAAATATGAGCTTGATGGGTTCTTAACTAACAAATTATGTAATTACAAAGATTCTTTCTTTTATTTTTTTTTTTGAGTTGGAGTCTCACTCTGTTGCCCAGACTGTAGTGCAGTGGCCACTCCCGGCCACCGCAGCCTTGACCTGCTGGGTTCTGGAGATCCTTCCGCCTCAGCCTTCCGAGTAGCCGGAATTACAGGCGCGCTACCACGCCCGGCTAATTTTTTTGATTTTATTGTTGAGATGAGGTCTCGCCTGTCCAGGCGGGTCTCGAACCCACAGGCTCAGGCAATCCACTCACCTCAGCCTCCCAAAGGTGCAGGATTACAGGCTGAGCCACCGAGCCCGGCTCAAAGATTCATTTTTATTACAAACTTTTAAGCTATTTTAATAAAACAGCTAAAGACTTCACTGTACTTCTATTCATCTGTGCATTAATAAAAACCTGTTAAAATTCCTTATTTAGTACTTCTGAAAAAGTCTAGTCAAATAAGATTACTAAAACTACCAGAAAAGCTTTGAAATACTGATTGCAGATTCATTTCAAAGTAGATTTAACCCCTTTTAGGATCTTGTATTTAAGTCATGAATATCTTCACCAACTTCAACTCTGAAAATATAAAAATTTTAGCCTGTGTTGGCTATAGTTCAACAGTACTGGTATTACTTGAAAAAATAAAAATTGAAAATATATTGTCAATCATGCATTCCACAATTTCAAGAACAAAGTAAGGTATAACTCATAAATATTATGTCTTTGCAGGTTATCTCAACTTCCATCAGGCCTCATCTGAAAACTTTCTGCCAAAACACATCAGCACTCATGTAAAATAAAAGTAGGGAGGTGATTTTGTACACGTGCTGCTCAGTGTTTGGCTTTCAATCTCTCCTCCTTTGTGTAACTATTCTAGATAAAACTCCTTGAAGTGCATGAAATGAGGAGTAGACAGAACAGAACACCCGTTAGGCTAATAAGAATATATTAGTATATAAAAAGTTTTCTGCTTAATATCTGCCTTCACTGTGGTTATGCTATGTGCAACATATAACCTCTACGACCATTTTCTCCTGTTTATCTATTTGTGGAAATAATTAGGCTCAAGAAAATGTGAAATATACATTAGTTTGCTTTAAATGCAAAGATTAACTATTTTTGGCTCAAGTGAATCATAACCAAAAAAGTCTCTTCTTTGATAATACAATATGAAAAAGTTCACATATGTACATGGGTACATTCCTTCATTAAAGTTTTTCCTTAAATCTATTTCAATGTATCTTTACAACTGATACAACTGATCTTTACAACAAAAGTCAAAAAATGATAAAGTAGAAACGATTTCATTTTACAGCACTTTAGGTTTTCTGAAGTCTTCCTTTAGGGCTTAAAGGACATCATTGAAACGTTGCTTTCCATAGTCTGCAGGATCCATTTGAAGTTCTCGTTCTTCATCATCTGTAAGTAAAAGAATTATGTATCAAGAATATTATTTTAAAAATCACTGTAAAAATCTAATTAATGTCTCAATTTTTCTCAGCCTTAAGGTAGTTTTCTGCTTGTTATTTTATACCTACTGAAAATCGTGTTCTACTTCTTAGTTACTTGGCTAAAGAGTGAAAAGTGTTTGTAATGACTTTGAAAAATTATCTAATTTTAATAAATCTTTTGAAAACAAATAGCTAAACAGGCAGAGATGGAGCTAGACAGATATAGCTAGCAAACTTTAGGAAACTACAAACATTAAGTAGTTAATCCTTTTATATAAATACATTATTTCTGTATAATGAAGGTGTAGTCCTTTAAGCTTTGGTAGAAACCTTTCTGTATACATTTTCATGCCTTTAAAAACCAAATTTTTTTCTAATTATAATCTATACTGGTAAAGTGAAAATTATGAAATAAAGATAGCAAAATAAAAGTCACTTATAATTCTAACATTTACATTGTAGTAAATTTCTTTGCTCCTTTGCTAATAGCTTACCCATGACTTCCTAAATGAATCACACCAATCAAAATTTAACCCCTTCTCTACCAAAAAGAAAAAAATGGTAACATAGTATCATTAGAGAATAAAATCCTCAAGGCCTCTTTGAGTAGCTGTATTAGATGACTCCAAGTAGTGCTGTGGAGTTTATGACACTATTTTCAGGTTTTTTTGGCTCCTTCTTGGCTATGAGCTGTCACTTTGCATTGTTGTCAGTTTTTCTGCCAATAGCAATCCTTCTTTTCTAATTTTGTTACAAAATATAGGTTTTGAAATAAGTCTGCTCAAGAATACTGAAGTTATATTAGAACAAGTATAGAAAGTATTGTAATCAGAGCCTGAGAAAGCCCCTTTTGAGCACCTGCTTTTTATGGTATCTTTTGGCTCCTCTGCAGACCTCAAAAATGACTTTTTTAACTTTTTGATTCACAGTTACAGTTACTCAATACCTTGATTTTTGATAGATTGAGGTGTTACTATTGTAATTTGCTGAAAATATAATTTTATCTAATTTAAAGCATTATATATTGAAGTCCAAATTCATATGTATACTATAACTTTTTGAAATCTATTATTCTAGGTATGATAGGTTTTTCACTCTACAATTTTGTTCTTTAAAAAAATCCCAAACAGACTGGGCATGGTGGCTCATGCCTGTAATCCCAGCACTTTGGGAAGCAGAGACAAGAGGATTGCCTGAGCCCACAGATTCAAGACCAACCTGGGCAACTTGGTGAGACCTCGTCTCTACAATAAATCAGAAAATGAGCCAGGTGTGGTGGCGCACGCGTGTAGTTTCAGCTACTTGTAAGACTAAGGTAGAAGGATCACCTGAGCCCAGCAGGTCGAGGTTGTGGTGGCTGTGAGTGTGCCACTGTACTCTAGCCTGGGTGACACAGTGAGACACCAACTCCCAAAAAAGTCCCAAACGAACCAACTTTCTTTTTAAAAAACTTTCCCATTAAACTCATAGAAACTGTCATTTAGAATTGCAGGTAACCATTTTGTACCATATTCTCAACAAACTGATCTTTACAGTATAATCTACTAGATATGATAACCCCCAAATCTGTTATGTGAAAAGGCTTAAATTATATCCATATTTACTCTTTTCTTTTATAAACATGCTAATCAATTTCTTATCAAAGAACTTTCTGCACTTTAAATAATATATGTGAAGGCAGTCTTCACCTGCAATGTCCTCAGTAAATATAAGGAGTTTTTTTTTCTTTATTAATGTATGCCCTTTAGCAAAGTTTTTGTTGTTTCTTTTTTTTTTTTTTTTTTTGAGTTGGAGTCTCACTATGTTGCCCAGGCTGGAGTGCAGTGGCACACTCACGGCCTCAGCGTCTGCTGGGCTCTGGCAATCCTTTCGCCTCAGACTTCCAAGTAGCAAGAACTACAGGTGCACATTACCATACCTGGCTAATTTTTGACTTATTGTAGTGAAGAGACCTTGCCAAGTTGCCCAGGCTGGTCTCGAACCCGTGGGCTTACGCAATCCACTTGCCTTGGCCTCCCAAAGTGCTGGGATTGCGGGCTGAGCCATAAGGGTCTTGCTCTTTAGCCCAAGCTAAAGTGCAGTAGTGTGATCATAGTTCACTGCAGCCTCAAACTGCTGGGCTCAAGCAATCATCCAGCCTCAGGCTCCAGAGTTGCTGGGACTACAGGTGCACGCCACCATGCCCAGCTAATTTTTAATTTTTTTGTAGCAACAGGGTCTCACTATGTTGGCCAGACTGGTCTCAAACTCCTGGCTTCAAGAGATCCTCTTCCCTCAACCTCCCAAAGTGCTGAGTTTACAGGCATGAGCCACTGTACCTCCTGGCCCCCTTCAGCAAAGTTTTAATATGATTACTTCACATTGTTCCAAATTTCATAGAACTTTTAAGATAACTACAGTCTATTTTCAGTGTAGCTATTCTGCACAGAACTCAAGTTTCTACCAACAACCTCTTGCCATTTATCTGTAAAGTATTATGAAATCACCTAACCAAATCTGATGTAGAATAACAGATAGCCACTAAATATCATTATAGGGATTAATATTTTAGTTCATTTTAAAAAGTAGCAAAATCTTGGCCAGCCATGGGTGCAGCAGCTCATGCCTATAATTCCAGCACTTTGGGAGGCTGAGGTGAGAGGATTGCCTGAGCCCACGGGTTCAAGACTAGCCTGGGCAACTTGGCGAGACCTCATCTCTACAATAAATAAAAAAATTAGCCGGGCATGGTGGCGCTCGCCTGTAGTTCCAGCTACTTGGAAGGATGAGGTGGAAGGATCGCCGGAGCTCAGCAGGTCAACGCTGAGGTGGCCTGAGTGTGCTACCGCATTCCAACCTGGGCGACAGAGTGAGACTCTGACTCAAAAAAAAAAAAAAAAAAAGAGCAAAATCTTTAAATAGCTCATCAAGGTAAATTGACCACTAAAGGAAATATCATTATAAAGTCATCTGTAATTTATTAGCCAATTCCCAAATTCCATCTGATGTCAAGAAAGAACTACCTCCATTAAAGAAAGCTCTACCAAGCAAAAACTTCTTGAGGGCAATAAACCAGTGATGCTCCACTAAAAAATACAAGTTAATCCACAGGCCAAAGTACAGTTATTCTCTAAAGCAGGCAACCGAGAGAAAAAAACTAGATTTGCTTTTACTTTGAAAACAGTATTTTATTCAACAAATATAGTGCTTACAGCATGAAAGACCTTGTTCTAAGTGCTGAACAAATATGAGATAACTTAATCCCTATAACAACTGTTGAGTTAGGTATCTATATTTATTTCTATTTTACAGTTAAGGAAATTAAGGCATAGAGAGGTTATGTAGTTCACAAGCTCACACAGATAGTTAGTAGTGGAGCTAGGATTTAAATCTAGGCAATCTGGCTCCAGAATGCATGCACTTAAGCATTATGCTAAGTTTCTTTCCATCGATATACTTAGTCACATTTATGTATTTCATATGCTATTACACTTGGAACTTCTTTAGTACTAAAGGTAAGAGTAAAGGAAATTTGCAAATGTCCATTCCCTTATTATGATAAAGAATGAATTAAAAGATATATTATCCATCAGATGTGTACTATTTCCAGAGTTAGTCTTTGAGTTAATCTTTTCATTAGATCACTAAATAAGTTAGGGGCAAAAAAGTTTATGCCAACGTAAATGAAAAAAAAAAAACTTCCTCTAAGATTCTTCAGAAAATCAGAAATTAGAAATCAAAATAAACTGTGATTGTAAACACAGGAAAAATTGGCCTCACTTAATTCTACAAGAAAACACTCTGTAAGCCAGGCACGGTAGTTCATGCCTGTAATTCTAGCACTTTGGGAGGTGGAGGTGAAAGGACTGCCTGAGTACAGAAGTTTGAGACCAGCCTGGGCAACTTGGCGAGACCTCGTCTCTACAATAAATTTTAAAAAAAATTAGCTGGACATGGTGGCACCTGCCTGTAGTTCCATGCTATTTGGAAGGCTGAGGGAGAAGAACTGCTGAGCCGAGTGGGCTGAGGCTGCCATGGCCATGAGTGTGCCACTGCACTCCAGCCTGTGCAACAGAGTGAGACTCCTACTAAAAATAAATAAATAAATATTTTTTGAAAACACTCTGTAAGTAGTGTTGACTCCAATGATCAATATGTATGAACAGATATCAGAGAGGGAGCTGGAATCCTTCAGATTCCTTTTGGCAGAGATGCTGCCAAAGCCTCCATTTCAAAATCCAGAATTCTGGAGACGAAAGCCAGAGAGTACTTAGCTGAAGCCAGAAGCTTATCCTGAAGCTGGAATCTCTACTCCAGGGACCTCACACCTTGAGAAAATTCTCCTTGTACTAGAGAGAGCATAGAAGAAGAGCTCCTATTCATAGAACCTTATAGTGCTTCTGAAGTGCGTGTTTCAATATTTGATCTCTTTGGCTATAGAGTCTCGATAGTAGTAGTACTATTTCTGGGTTTGGGAATAGATGTGTTTTAGGAATCCTGAAATCTGAAAAACATTTTCCCATAATACTTGTGCTATATATAGTGATTCCACTGTGCATGTGGCCACAGAATTTTAGAACTGAAGAGAACCATCTAATCTAATTCAACACTCTTCATACAGATAAAGAAATTGTGGCCCAGAAAGATTAAGTGACTTGAAAAGCAATATACGGCCTGTCTCTTGATTCTCAGCCTAATGTTTTCTCTACTCTCTTTTACTGCCTGCGTTGGTTACAAGTGCAAACCACACTGGAAACCCAACGATTATTTCTGCGTTGAGACAATGAAGTATTCTGCCACATAGTCTGACCTAATAATAAATTTTGGAATTCAGTTTATTGATAAATTAGGGAATAGCTATAATTACTCCTCGCCACTTTCTGGACAGTTAATAGTATACCTAAAGAATCCCTGAAAACATTTAAAAAATTATTTAGGTCTCTTTGGTATTCCTTTTTAGTTAGTTCGCCAAAACATCTCTCTCTTTATTTGCTAGAGTTGATGTTCTTGCATCTCTCTGGTCTCCGTACCCTATCCTCCTGCCACTATTATCCAGTGAGCCATGGAATGAGATAAGAATGTAAAATGGCGACCCCCAGCTCAAGTAAGATTCACTTGCAAATAAGGAAATCCCCAAATTTAATAATTCCCTCCCTACTTCAGTGAGGACATTATCTTTGGTTATTTCCTCATATTCCTAAGAATGGATGAATTTACTTCCTTGAAAAGAAATGGGAAGGCAGCATAAAGGTCTTGAGTACCTGAACTAGAAGGTGGCAGTGAGAACTGGGGGTGAAGAAGGAAGGAGGGTACAAGAAAGGGAGAGAGAAGGTGTTGAAAATAAATTTATCTACTGTAGATAGAAACCATAAAAATATTAAACTGAAATTTTGTGATGAAAGTCATCATCTTTAAGATACCCAAAAGTATAAGAAATGATTGACAATAATGTTAAAATAAATTGCTATAATAAAAACTTCAAAATTATCCAGTGAAATGGTAGACGTACATACAAAAAAAATTTGGGAATAAAGTATAAACCAAGCAAGCTTGTAAGAACAGAAGTTAAAGGGTTATTACCCTAAGTCACAGTTATAAGAATAAAGGCTCAGTGAGAAAAGCATAAATTATCGTTAATAACATTTACTGATGGTCCTGTGTACAAAATCCTGTGGAGGATGGGCATGAATGTGGAAAAGGATACAAACAAAATAGAAGACAAAATAAATGAAAATTTCTGCCCTCCAAAAGCTTCCACTCTAACTAGTGATATTATATACATGCATGGAAAAGCCTTAAAATGTTATAAATAATTGCAAATAAATATAATCCAAGTAAACCACAAAAGCAATGAGAAAAAAAGTAAAATTTATGAAAAAAGCGATGAGATCATAGAAAAAATGAGTATAATTTAATCAATGTCACCAAAGAATGTTTGAGAAGTTCTCATTAATATATCCTTATATAACTTCTAGTACACATTAATCTCGCTTCTATTCCCAAGAACCACATTTTTCCAAAACTAGAAAGTATTACTAAAATGGTGCCTAGGTAGAAGTCGGAGTTTCTAGTTTCCCATTTTTCTACTAACTATACAATATTCTAGAACTATATTTTCTTTTGACTTGTATAAAAACAATTACTGCCATGAACCATTATACAAGTTTAATTACTTTTAAAAAGCTGAGGACGAAATCAAAACAGTTTACATTGAAAAAAATTTCATGCATCATATAAAAATTTAATATATCACACACTAAGATTATAATCAACTTTTATAGAAAAAAGGCTCCACAAATATTACTACACAATATAAGCAGGCAGAAAACAGGCCTAAAAATTTTTGATAAAGCAATACATTCTGATATGCATGCATGGGTAGGGCTGCATGCACATAGGTAGATTCTGGACTTCCACTAAGTATTCAGAAGTAACAGTGAATAAGAAAACTATGTTGAATCTGTGTATTAACATAAAACAAATACATCTTCACTACTGATTGTTAAATAGAAATGTTAAGCCTCTCAGAAAAAAATTTCAAAAACATCATTCCTATGCTGTATCAGTAATGAAATAATCTTAAGTGTGGAGGAGGAAACTATTCCCTTTGTGGCTTTCCTTATTAAAAATGAACTGCCTGGGCAATATTTGCACCTAGAATAATGATAAGTTTTCAGATAAGAAATTGGAAAACAGTTATTTTCTGGGAGCCTTATGTAGAGTATACAGTCATTTTACACAATTTAATTCTAAAATTTCTGAAGATTCTAAGTTTCAAATTGTAACTATATCAATAATACATATAACATGATACTAAAAATTTTTTTAAGTGAAATAATTTATAGATCTATAAATACTATCATAAAATCGTTTTCAAAATAAAACTGAAAAACTGCACAGAACCTCTTTGTATTAAGAATATACTACTACTACTAAGTGAGGAAAATTCTACACAAATTCAACCAAAAAACTTAGAGGTGGGTTTCACGGTCACAGCATGGAGGCTAGGCCCACGCTCACCTTGGACGTCTTCCTCTCCACCATCACCATCTTCTTCCTCATTGTAAGCCAGCTCAGCCTGCTTGTCTGCCTCGTACTCACCTACGTTACCATCATCCCCATTATAATCCGCCAGTTTAGAGCCATGCTGCGGATCAACAGGGGATTCATTCTCATCAAAGAATCGGCCTGTGAAGTAGGTAGAGGATTAATTCAAGAGTAAAGAGAAGAAAAGAAGGGACCTATACTGAAGGCAGACCAGAAAGTAGACAAGTGAAATCTGGCAACTTTCAGGGTACTGGTTATAAAAGAATACATTTTGTGAAGGTTATCCAAGACAAAAGTAATTAAGAGTGAAGACTCTGAAAATACATAACTTTTACTTAAGAACTACTCTTTTGTGTTAATTTTAGGACTTGCTACTTAAAATTTGAATGTTTTGTTAAAGAAATTACTTTAAAGGATTGCTTTCCTAATCAATGACTTCTCTAATATAAGTATGACTAATTTAACAATTTAGGAGAAGAATAAATCACTTTATTACTAAAAACATCACATATTTCAATACATAGTTGAAGTGTGCAATTTCAAATATGTATTGTGTCTAGTAATAAAGTGTTACTAGATTTTTAAATGCCAAATATGTATTGCATCTAGTAACAAAATGATTTATTCTTCTCCTACTAAAGTGTTAAACAAATGAGTAATTTTAAGTAATTTTTCTATGAATAATTTTGAAAACTTTTTTAAATGAGTAATACTAAATGAATGCTAATTTATTTTTGTATGCTAAGACAAACTAACACACCTGAAGCCTATCTCAAATTCCTTCAGTAATTCTGAATTCACTATAGCCATGGATTTCCAAGGAGGGATGGCAAAGAAAGTAAACTATCAGAATCATAGTGGTTTTGAAAAAAATCCCAAGTAATTCTGGTTTATCTCTTCCCATTTCCTAAGCCTGATTTTTTTTAAAGTCAAGGGAAGCTTAAGAAAAGTGACCAACATGAGGCCATTATATTGTAAATATTTATAACAATTAGAAATCAAGAAGAGCAACAGACATAACACCTACTATAGAAAACTTCAACAAAACTGAAATTAAAAATGTTAGGCATACTAAGACATTGAAATTAAAAATGTTAGGCATACTTAGACATTGAAATTTAAAATGTTAGGCATACTAAGATCTGACTCAAATGCAAGTACTTTGACATTAAGTTTACCATAAAAGTAGATTTTATTTTAATCCTAAAATATGAATAAAAATAGCCAGGCATGGTGGTGTGGCATAGTTCCAGTTACTTGGAAGGCTGAGGCAGAAGGATCGCCTGAGTCCAGCAGGTTGAGGTTGCAGTGGGCATGAGCGTGCCACTGTACTTCAGCCTGGGTGACAGACTCCGACTCAAACAAAACAAAACAAAAAACAAATAAAAAAATATATGAATAAAGTTAACTTACTGATAATATAAGAATTTAAGACCTAGACTTTTATCAACTTTCTGTAAGAGGTCTAAAATTGGAGAAATAAGTTTCAAAAATTTATATTGCAGGTACTGTGCAGTGGCTCATGCCTGCTATCCCAGCACTTTGAGAGGCTGAGCAGGGAGGATCGCCTGAGGTCAGTAGTTTGAGACTAGCCTGGGCAACAAGGTGAGAACCACATCTCTGCAAAAAAAAAAAAAAAAAAAAAAAAAAAAAAACACTAAAAAATTAGCTGGGTATGATAGCATGTGTAGCAGTCTCAGCTACTAAGAAGGCTGAGGCAGGAGGATTACTTGAGCCCAGAAGCTCAAGGTTATAGTGAACTATTATTGCACCACTGCATTCTAGCCTGGGCGACAGAGTAAGACCCTGTCTATTTTTTTTTTTTAAGATAGGATATCACTCTGTTGCCCAGGCTGGAGTGCAGTAGCACGATCTCAGCTCACCACAACCTTAAACTCCTGGGCTCAAATGATTCTCTTGCCTCAGGCTCTCAAATAACTAGCCTACAAAAATACACCACCACACCCTAATAATTTTTCTATTTTTTGTAGAGATGGACTCACTTTAGTGCCCAGACTGGTCTTGAACTCCTGGCCTCAAGCGATCTTCCCACCTCAGCCTCCCAAAGTACTGAAGTGCTGGGATTACAGGCAAGAGCCACCATGCCCAGCCAATTAAAAAAAAAAAAAATTACATTTCAATTAAGACACTAAAGAGAAAAAAACTAACAGCTCCCTTTGCTTAGAAAGAAAAGTTAAGTACAAATGAAAAGAATTATGGAGGAACTGGTCAATTCTACAAATGGCTTACCACATCATCAAGCCAACATATTTCTAATTGCTGGGTAAAGAGTCAGTTAGAAAAATAGTTACAGAATAAATCATATTTATGTAGGCTTTTTTTTTTTGGAGTCAGGGTCTCTTGTCCAGACTGGAGTGCAGTGACATGATCACAGCTCACCACAGCCTCAACCTCCTGAGTTCAAACTATCTTCCCACCTCAGCCTCCGAATGGCTGGGACTGTAAGTGTGTGCCACCACGCCTGGCTTATTATTATTATTATTATTATTATTATTATCTGTAGAGACAAAGTCTTGCTATGTTGCCCAGGCTAGTCTTGAACTCCTGGGCTGAAGCAATCCCCCTGCCTCAGCCTCCCAAAGTGCTGGGATTACAGGTGTGTGAGCCGCTGTACCCAGCCTTAAATCGGCTTTTTTTTTTTTTTTTTAGTAGAAGTCTCTGTTGCCCAGGCTGGAGTACAGTGGCATGCTCGCAACCACCACAGCCTCGACCTGCTTGGGTTCAGGTGATCCTTCCACCTCAGTCCAAGTAGCTGGACCCACAGGCATGCACCCACCACGCCTGGGTAATTTTTTTATCCATTGTAGAGATAAGGTTTTGCCAAGTTGCCCAGGCTGGTCTTGAACTCATGGACTCAGGCAATTCTTTCGCCTCTGTCTCCCAAAGTGCTGGGATTATAGGCATGAGCCACAGCACCCGGTGATATTGGCTTTTAAAGAGGGATGGTTGTGGAGGCAACAGGAGACTGAAGTAATTGGGACCAGTAAGAAGTATGTATTTATGTTAAAACTATTCAAGAATAAGCTTGGAGTATGCACAATAAATAAACAAACAAATAAATATAAAAGTTGATCAAATAGAGTTAGAGAGTAGAAATGAATAACAAGAGTTAAAAAGGAAAAACAATAACAAGAAGATAGGTTATTTGTAGGAAAAACACCCTATCTCCTAGTTATACTAACATAAAACAAATATTTTGGTGGCTTTTATTATCTTTTTTCTAATAATATATTATGTCAACGTAAGCAGGAAAAGGGGAGATTTATAGAAATTTGTATTTTCCTTGATACGCAACTTTTGCTTTGGACAAAACAACTGGTGCAGTTAAGTCATCTTTATCCAATGTGAAACTTTTGTTTTAAACACATAAGCACTTAAATATGGTAGTTGCCAGTGAGTTTTTCAAAGTACACTATTTCTTCCAAGAAAACGTTTTCATTTTTTATCAGAGTTAATGAAATACAGATGACTTTAAACATCAGAATAAGAGACGTTATTGCAAAATATACATAATTTACTAATATTGTCAGATATGTATTAAAGAAATGGCCCACCTATACCTGTTATAATAGTCCAACAGAACAATGTAAAATTTCCTTCTTTAAGGTGACTGATGATCTGACTAGCCTGAAATCAGTTATAAAAATTTAATACTATAACTATAGTGATACTCAGAGATAATAAAAATATCAACAAGAATGAATGACCACACAACTGCGTCTTGTTAAATAATAATCTGTGCTATTATATATAGAGAATTTTCATGTTTGGAGAAAAAGCTAATCCTTAAAACTGTATTACAACACTCTCATAGATAACAAGAGAGGGGGAAAAAAAGCCAACTACACAAAGTTGCCGATGAAGTTGGGGAAATCAGACAAACTTCACATTAAACACTGAATGAATATAACATTATAGATTAAAATGTACAGTGCTGATTAATATAAGAGACTGCAAAATTATACAGCTGTCAGGCAACATTTCAATGTGACTTAGAGTTAGAAGGGAAGGTCCCAAAAGAAGGGAAATATATTAGACGAAAACAGAGGGAAGGAAAAGAAAAAAAGAACAGATAAGAACAAATATCGAACATTCAGGAGACAGTAAAACAATTAATTTGACTGGATCTATATTAGAAAGTTAGAAGAAGTTTACACAAGCAATAAAGAATCATAGAAGATTTTTAAAATTAAAGATTTTAAAAGGTCTCCTATACTCCACTTTACAAGGTATATGAAAGTCTCCACCTCTTTGACCACTATGAACTGATTCGCCATGCATGTGATAGGTCTTGTGCTAGGCTGTGATACAAAAACAAATGTACCATGTCCATCTCCAGTAAGGAAGACAGACAAGTGAACAAATAATCAGGAAGTGATGCTATGTATGCTAAAGCACAATGATGGAGAAAGTGACATCTGAACATGGAGACAGTTGCTTCCGCTGGTTTCCATTTGGAGTTTGAGTTTTATGTAGGAAGCGATAAGCAGTTATCATGATTTCTTTTAAGATCCCAGAGAACAGGAATCTAATCTCTCTTACACCTATAGTATCTCTAGTATCTATTCAGGTATGAAGCTATGAGGACTTAGACTAGGAAGATAAAGTGTTGGAAACAGATTAATCAAATACATTTGAAAAGGACAAAATAGCCGGGCTCGGTGGCTCAGCCTGTAATCCTGCGCCTTTGGGAGGCTGAGGTGAGTGGATTGCCTGAGTCCGCGGGTTCGAGACCCGCCTGGGCAGCAAGACCTCATCTCTACAATAAATTTAAAAAAGAAATCAGCCGGGCGTGGTAGCGCATGCCTGTAATTCCGGCTACTTGGAAGGCTGAGGTGGAAGGATCACCGGAGTCCAGCAGGTCGAGGCTGCGGTGGCCGAGAGCGGCCATTGCACTCCAGTCTGGGTGACAGAGTGAGACTCCAACTCAAAAAAAAAAAAAGAAAAGGACAAAATAGATAGATGGCATAATGCAACAGAAAAAGAGTCAAAGGATAATTCTATAATCCTAGCCTAAAAACTAAAAATAATGGAACCTATACCTGAAACAGTACAATTGGAAAGGTATGAGAAAGCAAACGTTGCTTTAGATAAACGGACCTTGGGCTACAGTATAATAT